AAGATCAAACCTACCGTAATTTACAGTACATTCGGCCTCTACAAGCCTGCATGGAAGCCTCAAAACACCAGGGCTTTCATCAGCACGTGACCTTGTTTTAGGGTTTAGTGTTTCGGGTTGAGGGTTTCTGCAGGTAGATCAAACCGGGCGACAACAATGCAAGTTGCACACTCCCTGAAAGCGGCTTACTTCCCAGAAGCTACTGAAAATCTGGCTTCGTATGGTCCCACGTGTCGGCTCTGGTGCTCAAGACCTACCGAGATCTAACTGCAAGCAATGCCTCTTTGGTAGGGCCCGGATAGTGCGATTTAGTCAGTCCCTTATTGTTTGTACAAGCCGGTATTTAGGTTCTACTACCGGGTAGTTTTGGCGGGGTCTAGGGGGCATGCCCCATCTGGGTCGGGCACAGTTTAGGTTGCAGGCTGGATGGTGCTAAACATGGTGGTCAGCCAATTTGAAACTCTAACTTGACCCCTAAATTCCCAACTTCAAGCCGAAATCTAGAACTGAAGTAAAGCCCAAACCGTTTAGGGTTTCGGGCGATCGGGAGGGCCACTGGCACACGGATTGTTGGCATGTAGCGCCTGTGCTTTGGGTTTTGGGGCTTAGGGTTCAGGGTTTAGGGCTACTGAAAGCCTCCAGGAAAGTAGGCTTCACGGTTTTAGTAAGCCTGCAGAGACTAACTAGGAGGATAGTACTGAGTCGGAATCCTCTGCCCTAAAGCCTCGAGATTTAGGATGCAGGAGTTAGGGTTAAGTGTTATAGGCTTTAGGCATCAGGGTTAAGCAGATGAGAGAACAGTTCGTTCAGATACTTCATGAGGCTTGCTGAAAAGCCACGACCACGAAGTTACCATCTGTTGGATTGGCTGTGAAAGAGACAGCATTTCTGCATTTGGGGCTGGAGCGCCTTTCTAGCACCCCACCTCCTTTGCTGCCCTGTCCCTCTCATGGCCAAGAGGCGGGCTCCGTCTGCGGACTCGTCCTCGAGTTACGCGCCAGAGGATGCTGGACAGGGCGGGCACCACGGCCTATCCGGTGCCCGAGGCAAGGCCAAGAAAGATGGAGCCCAAAGCAGGGGGTTTAAAAAAGAGAACCCAGACAAAGAAGGAATAAAAAACACAGATGAGAGCAAGGAGACTACCCTGACGAGGGCATCCAGGGCACGGGCGGCCTCCGGGATACTCATAGAATTGTTTGGCCTCGTATTTTAGAAAGCCCCGACATACAGTTATCTCCCAAGAACACAAGGACAATTACTATCTGAGGACAGGGAGGAGGCTGAGGCCTCCGGCGTGGTCGCCGGCCAGGGGGAAACCAGGCAAGCGGCCTGGATCGTGGCAGGACGAGTGCCCTGGAGGATTCTAGGCCAGATCCAGAATGCATTTTTGGCTTAGCAATGCAACTCTTGAGCACCATGGCAACAAGACCCGAAGAATTACCGAACTTCATCACATTCATGCAAGGACAGGACCATCAGCTAGCGGGATGCTGGGCTGCTTTAGCATCAGACTTGTTAGTTTCTGTTAGTAAAAGAAAGAGGACAGAAACTTGCGATTCTGACAGTCGGTGCAAGGTAAGATTCCTTCGATCGTGCTGGGAGGCTGATGAATGGTCCGGGGCAATGCCAGAGGGCATCCCCCCAGCAAAGCTCCATCTGGAACCCGCCGCTTGAATGCAGCTGGCATATTTTTCTAAGACAACCTGAAGCTCCTAAATAGTTGGGAAAAGTTTTAAAGTTTTCGCCCAAAGTTTATAGGTACGCAAAGCACTGCACAGCACCAGCAAGGACTCTCCACAGCACCTGGGCTGCAATTTGTCATCGACACCTACACCCACCCAACCCGCCCGCCCGCCCGCCCGCCCGC